TTTTTTTTTTTTTAATTCATTTTTTAAAGGACTGCCTGTTCTTATATAACCTTGAAGTTTGCTTTAACAACAATAACAGTGTAGCATAGCTAACACTCACTGAGTGCTTGTCATGTGCTAATAAGCACTGTTCTGGGTTTTTATAAGTGTTAACTCACTTAATCCTCATAACAACCCACATGGGGGAGGCATGACAGATATGAACCGAGGCACAAGGAAGTGAAACTTGCTCGAGACCATATAGAAATAAATGGGGAGGCCAGGATTCTAGTTCAGGCCTTCTGGCTCCGAAGTCTGTATGCATAACCGCAATGCTGCTTCTCCAAATCCTTTGATATTACTATTATTATTACTTTTATCAATTCAGAGGATGCAGATGTTAAAGGATCTAAAGGCCTCGTGAGCCTCAGTGTTTTCCAGTGTCCTTGGTTGAACGCCTCATTCTGGACATTCTCTCCTGGTAGAGATGACCAAAAAACCAGTTGTCTCACCACTCTTATCGCCTTATCACCCTGAGTACATATTAGAATCTAGTTGATACTGATCAGTAGACTTGTTATATACATTTTTGGACAAAATGAAGTCTTAGTGATATTGAAATAGGTTACTTCTAGGTTAGTTGCATTTATTTTTACACAGAATCTTAATAGCTTACACTGATCATCCCAGTGTGTTAGTCCACTTTTACTGTGGTTAAGGTGATTACAACAGCGTTGTATATATGTGGTCTCCTAAAGGAGGAGAGTGGGTCAGCTGTGCCTCTACAGGGCTTAGCTTACTGGGATCCTGGCGCCTTCTTATTCTGGAGCCCAGGGTGAAAGAGTTGCAACTTTTAATCCTTTGAGTACTGGAATTGTTGGATTCTCTCTAGTGTGTTCATCCCTCCTTACTTTGGCAAATTATTTTTTTGAATTTATCTTTAAAATTTCTTTTTAAATCAAATGCAGCTAATAACAATCAACACTCACTACCATCATTCTATCTCAGAATCTTTTTGCACAAAGCTCAAATTAATTAGAAATATTTTCTCCCAGTTTATTCCACCAAATATTTTTCTATCAACTAAGTAGGGTCACCATTTTACTGCCTCCTGAATCAGTTTCCTCACTGCTCACTGCCTGGCCTGGAAGCCAGTGTCATGTATTTTAGTTTTTTGTTATAGCAGCATTTCAGCATCTAGGTACCAATTTCTGTAACAGCCGTTGCTGCAGTAACAAACAAACCTGCTCTCTCAGTGGCTAGCAATAGAAAACGTTTATTTGTTGCTTACATTTCATGACTGTTGGGCTTGGCTTGGTTCAGTTCAACATTTTTGTCATTCCGGAACCTAGGCTGAAGGAATATCAACTCTCTAGGAAATACTATTCGCATATTAGAGGGCCTTAGCAAGAGGGGTGGGCCGTAGCATGCAACCTCATTTAAGGTGCTCACATTTCATTGGGCAGAGCAAGTCAGTCGATTAAACCCAAGGGGTGGGGAAAGTATATTCCACCCACAGGGAAGGCTTCCATGGGAGAGGAGCAACCAGAAGTGTGTACGCATATTTAATCTGCCTCATCTAGGATAGGACATAGTTAAAAATTTGATCTAAAATAATATGTTTTCTCTTTGTTTATATCGAACCATTTAGGTTCGGGTATAAATGGAGATTCAAAGGACATAACTGCCTACCACACAGTGTTTCTTACAGCCATATTAGGAGGAACAGTAGTCATTGTCATTGGATTTTTTGCTGTACTTCTTTGTTATTGCAGGTAAGAACAATATTAATCAATGTGTATAAACACAGAAAACTCAAATTATGGTATCATCAGTATGTTCTGTGTATTACAGAGTTTATTTGTAGAAATCAATTGTTTGATCTTTAAAACATGGAGATTAAAGTAAAAATGGATATAGTCTAACAGTAGCATTACATATATTATGTACATATCATGGGATAATTTTTTAAAATGAACCTTCTAGATCATACGTTTTAAACATTTTTTGCCTTCTCTTCTACTCTAGGGATAAATGTGGTACTCCACAGAAAAGAGAGAGAAATATCACTAAACTTGAGGTCCTCAAGAGAGACCAGACAACTTCAACAACACACATAAATCACATTAGTTCAGTCAAAGTTGCATTAAAAGCTGAAGACAAGTCACAGTTATTCAATGCCAAAAACTCCTCATACAGCCCTCAGAAAAAGGAACCATCAAAGGCAGAAGCAGAAGAAAGAGTTTCCATGGTAAAAACTCGGGACAATTTTAAAATCTACAATGAAGATGTTTCATTTCTGTCAGTCAATCAAAATAATTACTCAAGAAACCCAGCACAGTCTTTGGAGCCCAATGTAGGGTCCAGACAACCTAAACATATTAACAACAATCTATCTTCATCTCTAGGTGATGCTCAAGAGGAAAAGAGGTATCTCACAGGTAGTGAAGAGGTGTATGGGCGTTCCCACATTCCTGAACAGCTTATGCATATCTACAGCCAGCCCATTGCTATCCTTCAAACATCTGACCTTTTCTCTACCCCAGAGCAGTTGCATACTGCTAAGTCAGCTACTTTGCCAAGAAAGGGACAGTTAGTCTATGGCCAATTGATGGAACCAGTAAATAGAGAGAACTTTACACAGACATTGCCCAAAATGCCAATGCATTCTCACGCACAGCCCCCAGATGCCAGGGAAGAGAATATTCCCCTCGAAGGTCAACAGAGCTTGCCATCCCAAACTTCGGATTGGAGCCGGTATTCGAACAGCTTACTAGAATCTGTCTCTGTTCCTGGAACACTAAATGAAGCTGTTGTGATGACTCCTTTTTCATCAGAGCTTCAAGGAATTTCAGAACAGACTCTCCTAGAGCTGTCCAAAGGAAAGCCCTCCCCCCATCCCAGAGCCTGGTTTGTGTCTCTTGATGGAAAGCCAGTCGCGCAAGTGAGGCATTCCTTTATAGACCTGAAAAAGGGCAAGAGAACCCAGAGCAATGACACGAGTCTGGACTCAGGGGTGGACATGAATGAGCATCAGTCAAGTAGAAAACTCGAGAGGGAGAAAACGTTCATCAAAAGCATGCATCAGCCTAAGATCCTTTACTTAGAAGATTTAGACCTGAGCAGTAGTGAGAGTGGAACCACTGTCTGCTCCCCTGAGGACCCAGCTTTAAGGCACATCCTAGATGGAGGGAGCGGAGCTATCCTGGAGCACCCTGGGGAAGAGTCCCCAGGAAGAAAAAGCACTGTTGAAGATTTTGAAGCCAATACATCCCCCACTAAAAAAAGAGGCAGACCACCACTAGCCAAAAGAGATAGCAAGACTAATATCTGGAAGAAGCGAGAGGAACGCCCACTGATTCCCATAAATTAACACCAAGGGTGGTTGTGTCTCTGCTGTCTCGTGCTGTTTATTCTTGCTTCTTCTTGTAAATTGCGGTATGAACTTAAGAAGTTGAGACTGAGCAATCTCATGGTCCCTGGACATGTCTCAAGCAGAGTAAATAGTAAAATGGTAAGTTAGTAATGAGCGAAAGATACCAAGGGATGCTTTTCTGGCCTATTCTTTTCATTTATTTTTGGGTGATGAATTTGAAGTGTCCAAGAGTTAAAAATGTGAAATAGCTTCAAGATGTCGGTTACCCGAAAATGTTGCTCACTCAGCCAATTTAGCCCTGACTCTCTTGAGAATAACAGTGAAACGTGTTCTCCTAGAAGTTGCTTCCAAAAGTGTTGCCTCTGCTTTGATGACTACCCCTGTGAAACATTTAGAAATGAAACTGTATTCTTCAGGCATCATCTTCTTGTGAAATGTTCCTATTATGTTCTCTGTTGCCTATATTTGAAAATAACTTGATAATGTTCTGGATTGATATTATTCTAGAGTTTAAAGGCCAGACAACATTTTCTTTTTTGCGATAAACAGCATGTGTATTGTATCAAAAGTAAATCCCATACTCGTTTAAGATGGGCAAGAAGCTACTTGGTTGTTAGAGAGGGAAACACCAGCTCTTTGATTGTTTTTGGATATAACTTCACAGAATAAATGATAAGGTGTTAATTTGTTATTTATAAATCTGAGGAACAAATGCTCTGATACTGAATTTTTGTTTTAAATTTCTCCACCCCCCCCCAAAAAGTATAGTCAGCTTAGCTGTCAAGAAAAACTTTTTACCAATCTGAAAAAAACCCATATTTTTAGTTTAAGACTCACTGATACATGTAGACTAAAATCAGTTTTAAGATATTTCTTCTATTCCAAAAAAAAATTCAGTCACTTAAACACTGTTAAACTTGATTAAAAAAATCAATGAGTTGAATTTCTTATGAACACCAAAAAATTAACCAAATATGTGGAACTAAAGGAAATAAACATTTCCAATTTTTTCTGAAATGTCAATGAGCAGAAAAAGAAATGCCACTTCCCTGAGACGCAAAAATACCTTCAGGATACTAGGTATATATCTACATTTTTTGTTGTTGTTGATATTCATAAAAGGTGTTTGAGAAAAACAATTTCAAATTCATGGGAAAAGTAACAGTTTCGCTTAGAGCTTTTGCAACATTTTTTCTGCAGTTTTGGCAGTGACATATCCATATTCTTTTTATCATAGCAAAGAATTCAGTGTGAATACATTCAACAACTGTTTTTAATTATAAATGTCTTCAGCTCTGAATTATCATTCATATGTCCTAAAAATAAAGCTCTTTGTTAGTTAAAATCAACTCATCCTATTTTTCTTAAAATTTCCATGAAGGCAAATGTCTGAAGCAGCTTCCCTTTTCCCTTGGGGGAAAAAAAATGAAACTAAATTGCTTTATTTCTCATCCCTGCTAATGAACATGGGAGCAACATAGAGACCCAAGGCACACAAAAAGTTAAAAAAACCAAAATTAGCCACATTAACTTTATAATCAAATTATAGATGGATAGACAATGAAATACAAGTTTTTTTCCCAAGATGTAGACTTTAGCCAATTTTTTCCTGTAACCCCTTCTGAAGCATCTAACTTGTCAGATAATATTCCTACCTTTCTGTATTAACCCAAAGAACTTAAAGACCCAGGCAAAAGTTTGCTCTATTTCACCCCAATCCATGGAAGAGATCAATGTTTTGGGTAATACCTAGGTTTACTTTTTTTTTGCAGGGGTATCGATAAGGCCCAAATTAGAGGAGGATTTTTATTGGCCTTGTACAGAAAGATGCATTAGAAGTGGCATAAATGAAAATGACTTGGAAAAGGTTAAGGAGTTAGGGCTCTGCTGAAGTGCCTTTGATAATAGACTTGCTTTATTAGAAGGATATGATAACATCTTTCTTAAATGTGCATTTTCTTTCTGTTAGCCAAATTAAACAGATGTGCGGTTTTTATTAAAAAATATAGACCTAGTGTTTCACGTTGGAACAATGAATTTTGCATGCAAGTAACATTTATCTCTTTTGTGTGTTTAATTCTTTTTTGAATCCGGCTTATACTGATATATTGTTCATGTTGGAATGAAGTTTGAAGCTACATAGGAAAGTGTTGCACTTCTTCGATATTTTAAGTGTATATTTTTCCCACCTTTAGATAAAAATGTTTCATCTCTCAGCTTGGTAATGGAATACACATGTTGGTATAAGGATGTACCATTCAGGTATACCACTTACTCATTCTTGTGTAAAGGAAATGAGAAGATGTATCCCCAAGGGCTTTTCTAGAAACACTGTTTTTGGTTTCAGAAGAAAACATTTTTTATACACTGCACATTCTGTTCTCAGTTGGGAAGTATAGGCAATTTATTTTTTCTAAAGATCAAAAATGTGTAACTTCTCATTTGTGAGTAGTTCACAAATTTCCTGTTAAAAAGCTGAAGCCATCTACTTTTTCTTAACCCAAGTGATAATAAACCTACAATATTCACAACTTTCTTAAATTTTTAAATTGAAAACCAACGCAGTTTTTTGAAAATGTGAACCTAGAGAATTTTGGTCACCAATTGTTAACATTTGTGGATCCTTTGTATATACTTTGGATATATCTTAAAAGCAAAATTATCCCTCAATTAACTGATGGATTCATTTACTAAAGCACAGCTGTATGTATTTTTGAATACATATTATGATGAGCCTTTATAAAATCCATTTTTATGACATTTATGCAGTTGTATAGGGATTACGCCCTTTTGTAATACACAGTATACCACGGAGGTCACAAATGTTGAGGAATAAAAGCACTTCTTTGCTTTGGCAATCATTTTCAGATCACTTCTGTGTGTTTGAATCCTCTGGTATCAATACATATTAGTTTTAGGGATCTGTGGGTTATAATGTCCCTCAAAACTTCCCAGAAAGGTGAAGCTCAAAGTTCCATATTCATTTATAGGGAACGAGTTACTCATTTCCCCATGTACTAGCATTGTAAAGAATTGGACGGTGTTATTTTCCATCTCAGACCTAGAGTTGACATTTTGCCCTCTTGTTTCCAAGTGTTTCATCATTTGTATTCTTTCATCAGAGGAATCTCACATTTCAGTGTATTTATTGCCATTACTACTATATTTACTGCTGAAAACTGTAACCATCTGAAGATTTGTAAAATGTTCAACAGTTCATTAAAGCTAATAAAATAAATCTAAAAATATACTTGATGCGTTGTTTAATTTTGGGTAAGCTACGAAACATTCCTCCCTAAATTGTCATTTAATCTAATAAATATTCAATTATTACTTTTTTCCTTATTACACTCTCTATAGTAAAATAAACATTGTATATTTGAATACCTTTTATTTTTGTAATGAACTTAATTTCTCTTTGTAATTCATGTTCTCCAAAGTTCACATTTTTACTATTAAAGCTGAGTATAGACAAATTACTTTTCCATTCAATGAGAAGACTTCTTAAGATAATGTGATAGAATGTAAAATAAATTGCAATTCCCAAAATAGAATATCCCCTCACCCCTTAAAAAATATTCTTTGGCTTTTAAACCCAACACTAAATGATAACACCAAGGCTAAAGGGCTGTTTACACTTAGAGTGTCAGAGCTCTTTCAAGAGCCCTTCTGCTCAGTTAATTGAACAATACTTAAGTTCAGGCAGTTTGTATTTTGGACTTTAGACTATCTTTTAGAATCATTATCCTGGCTGCCATGTTTTTAGACATTTTGTATAACGTAAATGAACAGGGTACTAGAAATACTTTTGGTCAGTTCTAATGAGAATTGAGTTCTGAATCCACTCACAAATATAGTGGAGATTATGACCCCAACACCGGCATTGAGATGGACACTTCCATTTGGATTCCCGTCAAGTGCAAGCCAGGTTGTGGTGCCTTTGTTTCGGGCCTGGTCTCCCTCTAGAAGAGCCTGGAGTCTTAACAGAAACGATGCAGCTCCTAGGACGCAAACTCATGTGAAACTGGTAATGGAAAACAGATTTCATAAAACAGAAACATAGCTGCCAAACATGACGTTCACAAGCCGCCACCACAGTGTCATCTCAGAAAGGAAATTAATATGAGGGGAGACATGTAAGAACTATAGGAAAGGTAACTGGATGGAGTTAAATATTTTAATGTGATTCATTAAAAGTGATTCACCTATCTGTACTTGATAATCGTGACAGATAATCAGGGACCCTTCCCTTGAACCGCATGCTGTTTGTGTAGTAACAGTTAAACTATACCCCAGTATTGCTTTACCTAGACTTCATAAAGTCACCTTTTGGCCTTTTTTTATAGGTAGATTTCTTTATCATGATGTAGAAAGAGACAGCTTAATTCCGTCAGTAAGCTCTCTCGAAATCAATTGTGGGGTATTTCTTTTGAGATATCTGCTCTGTTGTCTTAGATGTAGATCTGTTGACTCCATCAAAATAACTACTCTTTCCTTGACCTGTTTTCTTTTCCCTTTGTTTTGAGCCTGTTTATTTTGGGACTGTGGACTACTGTCCATTGAGTGGTTGTTGTTTTTTTTCTTTATGAAAACATCTTCAGTTTGACTAGAGAAAAATTGTCTAGAAATCAATCACAATTTATAATATTAAATACCAAAATGTTAATTACAAATGATGGAAAAACATTTTCATTAAATATATATGGCAAATTTCTTAGGGAAAAAAAAAAAACTGTTTTCTTTCCAAAATAGCTAAGCTTAAAGAACACATTTAAAAATTACCTGTAATGTTTGTCAAAACATTGCCTTAACACTTTCCTCCACTTTGTAGCTATAGCAGATGAACATCCTCCTTTTTCTGTTGGAAAAGTTCACATGGTGAGAAGTATATGGTATTTTTTTTTTCTTTGGTTACTAAACATTTCCTGGTTGAACCCTATGTTTCCTGGTTTTCAAACCTGCATTTGCTGTGTTTGTAAATAATATTCCACAGTCCTGTAGGAATACCCCAATTCCCCACATGATTTGGTCTTTTTTTTCTTTTCTTCTTTAGGTTGACTAGAAGTTTCATAATTCGTATGTTGACTGATTGTAATCCCTGGAGACCTTATTAAAACGCCAGACTAACTGCAGACAGTCTGATTCAAAACAAACCAGATAATTACATTCCCAGGAGTCTCTGAACTTATTATACTTGGACAGCTTAGTTAAAAACCTTTCCTAAATACTATATTGAACAGCATAATTGTGGCTATTAAGCAATGTGGAGGAGATTTCTCAAAATAATTTTTGTTTAATATATTCCCATATTTCAATCTGGAAAACACAGATTTTTGTTTTACATAGAAAGTATTTTTTAAAAGTAAATTTATTCAGCTTAAATTTATCTCATATCTAGCATTCTGTACTTCTATTTTGAAATGATTTCTAATTTAGATAACTTCTGAAAGATTTGTGTCCATTAAATATGGAAATGTTTAATTATTAACAAGTACTTTTGCAGATATTCTGTTAAAAAATAAAAACGGAAACAGGCCAAAATGGAGTCGAGTGTCTCCAGGACAGCAAACCAAGACTTAATTGCGGTTTCAGCCTCTCCCAGGAGTGGAATTTTAAACCAATCGGCCTGGAATTTCCTGATCAACACTAGTAATGTAATCTGCCTCGTAAGACCCCTGCTGTTAAAGGCCCCTAAGTGAAAGTGACCTTGCCTGAAACAAACCTTTTCTTTTGCTAATAACCTCTTTGTCCTGCCCCATTGCTGCATATAAAAGCCTTCCGCCTTGTAAAGTTCCTCAGAGCTCCCTTTCACTTGCTAGAAGGGATGCTGCCCAGTTCATACATTGTTTAATAAAGTCAATTAGCTCTTCAGATTTACTCAGTTG